ATGTGAGGTGACACTAAAGGATCTGATTACAAACCAATAGGAAAACAGAAAAAAAATTGTAACTATGTCCATAAATAGGCACACAATCAAAGTAATTGATAATTGATCGGATTGAAATTGAATCCTTTCTCTATAATAGTATCCTTAACAAGCTTGATACAATTAAAAACTGTGAAGAAGAAGTTGAAGTTGAGTATGAATTTTAATTACCCATATACCAAAACTTACAGTGAAAACACTATTATAAAATGACTTGTGCACATCCAGTGACATAGGAACTACATTTCATGGCTACTTCTGTGATAACTTACCCGTATAACTTTACAGAACACACAGCACTCTGTGTCCAACCCTCTCTGACATAGACCTTCCATTTCTTCATCTGACTCATTATCTTCACTCTTTCGTTTGATAAGCATTATCAATGCCTTATAATCAAGCGTAACTGTCATAAAAAAACAAGATGAATAATTAAATTTTCTTGAACGTCACATCCCGACATTAACAAATATGATTTTAATGTCCATTAACAGGCTTCTTCTGGGATCACATCCCAAAATGCCTTTTATTTTAATTAATCAGTCTGCATTTACTGTCATCAGCATTTCTACAGCCTGACTTAGAAATGCAGATGGTTACAATCTTTAGGAACACATCCAAGAAGAGAATGAGGAAATTGATTCTTAAGTCTTGTTTTTTTTTAAGGTGATGGAGTCGGTAATTTAGCAGTAGGTAAAGGGCCATTCAAGCCTATAGTGGCCCATCAGGCTTTGTAGCCTTACCTTGGATTCAGGAGCATAAAGTGACAAGAGTATTTCTATGCGCACCCGGATGGGGTGTTAGCCCATCAAAGGGTTATACATGCCAGGATTAAGTTCACTGGTACTTTTTCAATCCCCTGAGCTCAGACACTGTGAGTATTGCCTATGAATACAACACAATTACTCTGGCCAGGACTTGAAACCCAGATCACTAGAACTCAAGTTCAGCACACTCACCACTGATAATTACAATGCAAATCACCATGTCTCCCTTATTAAGTAAGGTAAGGTCTGGGTTTGGGCCCAGAAGTCACCCACCAGCGTCAAAGCTTATCTGGATTTCAGTACCACTAAGGGACTAGGAGTATTTCTACTGCACCCTGGATGGGATGCTGGTCAATAAAAGAGTTATCCCTGCCCAGCATTAAATTTGCCAATTGATACACATTCATATACATTTATATTATTTGTGGGTGGAGAGAAGCACTGTGAAAGTTGAATGTCTTGCCCAGGAACACAACACAATGGCCTCTGCTAGGGCTTCAACCCGGACTGCTTGATCTGGAGTCCAGTGCTCACGTGAAACATTAGGCACTTACAAATTCAGCAGATGGAGGTATTCTACAATATTATTATTATACTATATGTTTTAATAGCAAACAGAAGAAAGAAATACATGTAATTCTGAAAATAAATATAACTTCAATATATAAAGGAACTCCAGCAATAAGCTGGATATTTTTCCTTGGCCCTACAGTGGCCTAGGAAAGTATATTTAATCACCTGTAAATTTGACTTTAAAGTGTCTTCCATCAATAGTTATTCCATTTTTCTTGATGGCATTTTTTTGGGCATTGATTTCCTTTATTAGGGCTTCAACATTGATCCTACAGAAAAAAAAACAGTTTAAACTAATTTAATTGAACTCCTAACTTAATGATGGGCATTGAATAATGAAATCATAATAGTGCATTTAGCAGTCTGCTAAATGTATTTCTTAAAGTGATATTTTAGCCATTGAAGACCTAAATATTATTATTATCACC